TGTCCCCCTCCTATTGGATAATGAGTTGGCCATCATTAATGATGACCAACTCATTATCCAATAGGAGGGGGGCACCTCACTTGTCCCTTTTATTGGTCCCATATTTTGGGTCCCTGTAGTAAAGCTCGGAAAATAATATAAGTCCACTAGAAACGAGGCAGAGAATATAATTAGTTCTCAAGTTATTTCAAGTTAGGCCCTCAAATCATTGAAATTTCTCTTGGGTCCCCCTAATTTTCATGATTAATGTGTAGACTCATGAAAATTGGGGGACTTAATAATAATTTTGATGATTTGAGGGGCAACTTTTAAGATAACTTAAGAATTTGGATGGCTTAATAACAATTTCAGCGATTAAGGGACTGATTTCATAGTATTAAAGATTTGTAAAACTAATGTGGACAAAGCTTAAAACTAAAAAGGACCAGAGTTTTTTTGATATTAGTCCCTTGAATCTTTCATATTTTGAAAGTAAGTGTCTCAGTCGCTGAAATTGCTATTACATCCCACAAATTTTAACTTGTTTTTAAATTAGTCCCTCTAATCAATACTAGAAATAGCAATTGGAAAGATTAATTTGAAACAGATTTTGAGAATTGGAGGAGCTGGATAGTCCATTACAATATATTCTACTTGGACTTTCTCTTCAATTGCTATTTCTATTCTTGATTAGAGGGACTGATTTCAAAATAAGTTAAGAATGGGGGGACTTAATAGAAATTTCCTATCATTTGAGGGACTAATTTCAAAATAACCTAGGAACTAAGGGACCTAACATCTGTTTCCATGATTTGAGAGACTAATTTCAAAATATGAAGGACACAAGGGACTGATGTCGGGGGGAAAACAAAGAACAAAGCCCAAACCAATTAATACATCTTTGCCACTGCTTTGGGTCTACTTTTATATTATACTTGGTCGGGCCCAGACGTAACAAAAGGGATAAGGGAAGTGTGTGATTGGGTCAAATGGTGGTCTTAGGCTTTTGCTTAAGGAGATGATCGGGCAAGTACCCAACATTTTCTCCTCCGACTTTCCCTAGGTTCAGACAAGGCAAGGGTAAATAAATTTTTTGCGGTTATCTTTCTCTCGATTTTCTTGTTTTCAATTTCATTTTATCTATCCTACTCTGTGGAAATATATTTTCTTTTTCATTTTCTTTTCTTTTCCTTCATTTTTCTTCAAATCAAACAGACCCTTACCTGATGACTATTATTTTTCCATTTATTCTGTACCAGTTACTTGGGCACTGATGTCTTATGCATCGTCTTTGTGCTATTGATAATGCTTTAGGAAAGCTTGGACCTTATATCTTGTCGATCCTTAATAGTAGTTAGTTCGGTCTTCCTATTTATATTACCATCATCATTTGATCTAATGCTTGAAGTATTTGTTACAGTGCTTGCAGTTCCTCTTGTGTCCACATTCTTTTGTTTGTTTCCTGATATATTCATAGTTTACGCTATTTTCTTCCTCCAGGTCATCATTTTCGCTTATTTATTACTCCTGCTGCTGAACTATTAGTGTCAAATTATTTGCCTTAAATGTTTAGCTGCGGGTTTACTTCTTGTGATGTGTTGTAGAATGAATTTGAATACGGAGCATAACGAAATGGACAAAAAGATTCAGTATCCTGTTGATCATGTGAAATAACCCCTCTAAAACTTCTAATATTGTTAGGTTGAGCTAGAGGATCCTGTTGAGAATATTGGTGCCAAGTTAGTAAGGCAAGCTGCTGCAAAGACCAATGATTTGGCTGGAGATGGCACGACTACATCTGTTGTTCTTGCTCAAGGTTTGATTGCTGAAGGTGTGAAGGTATGATTTATTCTTAGACATCCATAACCAATATCTCACATTATTGCTGGATGAAAGATCTTATTTTGTTCACTCTGACATCTACCTATGTAACATCTGTAGGTTGTTGCAGCTGGTGCTAATCCTGTTCAGATCACTCGAGGTATTGAGAAAACAGCCAAAGCTTTAGTTTCTGAACTCAAGTCAATGTCCAAGGAGGTACTGCTCATTCTTAATTTCTTTGGCTGCATTACAAATTAAATTGTTGGTTGCATGTAATTGCTCAATGACCTTTCCCTCTCTTGTAGGCTTCTAAGTTCTCTTGGTTTCTTCATGTTCATGATGTTGCAGGTTGAAGACAGTGAACTTGCAGATGTGGCTGCAGTTAGTGCTGGAAATAACTATGAAATAGGAAACATGATAGCTGAGGCTATGAGTAAAGTAGGTAGGAAGGGAGTGGTGACACTAGAAGAAGGAAAAAGCGCAGAGAATAGCCTTTATGTTGTGGAGGGAATGCAATTTGATCGTGGTTATATTTCTCCTTACTTTGTCACTGACAGTGAAAAAATGTCAGTTGAATACGATAACTGCAAGGTCTGAAACTGTTTGTTTTATCTTTCTACTGTTGATTTCCTTGTTTGTCATCAAAACTGAGAAGTTAATATATATTGCATAAATTTGTTTTATCAGCTGCTCCTTGTTGACAAGAAGATCACAAATGCGAGAGATTTGATCCATATTTTGGAAGATGCCATAAAAGGCGGGTATGCAATATTAATAATCGCCGAAGACATTGAGCAGGAAGCCCTGGCCACTCTTGTTGTGAATAAGCTTAGAGGAGCTCTCAAGATTGCTGCACTTAAAGCTCCTGGATTTGGAGAGCGCAAGAGTCAGTACCTTGATGACATTGCAATTCTTACTGGAGGTATGTTAGGTTTCTTATTTCTGTTGACTCAATGCGAGGAAACATTGTGCTTGATGACAAAGAACAGGTCAATCAGTTGTGAGAAAGTTCCTTTCTGGCATATTATTTATAGAGGAGCTTTTTAAAGTTCCTTTTCTTTAGAGAGATGATTTTTGAGGATTTTTTTTAGAGCCAGATGAATTAAGTTTCAAGAACTCCTAAACTTATAGAAGAGATAAGGAGAGAGACAGGGATTAATAGTGTTTTTCCCCCACTTCTTAACAGATTAGTGATCTTTATGTTGTGGAGCTTAAAAATCACTAATAACATCTGAGTTGTGGGTGTTTGCAGGGACTGTCATCAGAGATGAAGTTGGACTTTCTCTGGATCAAGCAGACAAGGAGGTCTTGGGTACTGCTGCTAAGGTTGTCCTAACCAAAGACTCAACCACAATAGTTGGTGACGGGAGCACCCAAGAAGAGGTTAACAAACGAGTTGCTCAGATTCGAACTCTTGTTGAGGTTTGCCTCCCTGATATTCTTTCCTTGATTTTGGTCTATTGTTCTTCCTAATTAATTCTCACTCATTGTAGTTTAACTCTCCGCTTACTCATTGTAGTTTAACTCTCTGCTTATTTGCTTTTCAGAATGCTGAGCAAGAATATGAAAAAGAAAAGCTTAACGAGAGGATTGCTAAACTCTCTGGTGGTGTTGCTGTCATCCAGGTACACCCATGAATTTCTCATGCTTGTGAGATTTGCTTCAATTAGTTACTCTTTTTTTTAATCATGGTTTATGTTTCATTAGGAGCTGAACTCCATGTCAGCAGATTTGGGTTCTGGCTTGATCAAAACAATTTATTTTCTTGTACTCTCTAACTATAATTATATGCTTCTCCTTGAATTTCTAGAAATGTAACTCGTACGTGAACCACCTTACAAGGATCACTGCCAGTTATAACTTTTAGATGGTGTTTAATTTGCAAATGATACATTTGGATATAGTTGGTCTTATCTCTATGATGTATCTGTCTGCAGATAGTTGATAAAAGTAGGACATATATGCTTGCTTCTCACTATAAACAAGATAGAAAAAAAAATGCTTAGTTTGCTTTTGGAATTAATTTAAATGTGGTTTGTTTGCTTTTGGAATTAATTTAAATGTCGAACCACATTGGTAATTGACATTCTTCTGAAATTTGATCAGGTGGGAGCACAAACAGAAACTGAGCTAAAGGAGAAGAAATTGAGAGTTGAGGATGCCCTAAATGCTACGAAGGTCTGTATTGAGTTAGCTGTTAACCTTTTTTCCCCATCTTTTTTTGCTTTAGCTTGTTTGAGATTGATTTTACTTGGTATATGCTATAGGCTGCTGTTGAAGAGGGGATTGTGGTCGGTGGAGGCTGCACGCTTCTTAGGCTGGCAGCAAAAGTTGATGCTATCAAGGATACTCTTGATGATGCTGAGCAAAAGGTTTGAAAAGCACCTCCTACTGAACACTACTCTTAAAAGGGGCCTTTTGTTATTTACCTTATCTTGGTATTCTGTGTGACTTGCAGGTAGGTGCAGATATTGTCAAAAGGGCTTTGAGCTACCCACTGAAACTGATTGCTAAAAATGCTGGAGTTAATGGTAGTGTGGTCACTGAGAAGGTAAAATCTCTAATCCCCATGCATGGAACTTCTGCATGTTTCCGGTGAAGTCTGTTAACCTGTCGTGTTTGTTGTTCCAGGTGCTGTCAAGCGATAATCTGAAATATGGCTACAACGCGGCAACTGGTGCTTATGAGGATTTGATGGCCGCAGGGATTATTGACCCCACAAAGGTTTGTGTCCTTCTGTAGCGTAGTACGTCACCGTTTGATTCCTAGATGAGTATATTGATTGAATTGGCACTTTCATTTTTGAGTAATCAATAGGTTGTGAGGTGTTGCTTAGAGCATGCAGCTTCAGTTGCGAAAACATTCCTTATGTCAGATGTTGTGGTTGTTGACATCAAGGAGCCTGAGCCTGTTGCTGCGGGGAACCCAATGGACAATTCAGGTCTCTTAGCCAAACCCTACATGAACAAGACCTCTGAATATTATTATTTTGTGGCAATTTTCTGATATCCCCCCCCTTTTCCTTCTACTTGCAGGATACGGTTATTAGAGAGCTTCGGAAAGGCAATTGCTAATGGAAAATTAAATTTTCGTGTGCGGTACTGCAATTGAAGCCGGTAGCAAACCTTTTTTGTAAATTTGATCCTAATGTCATTCTAGCATGGAGTGTTGATTCAGATTTATAAATGACTGAGAGTAAAAGCTAAACTTATATTTTGCGGCAATGGGTTGAGAGTGTAATCAAGATTTGGTTCTCTTGTTATAGCGAACAAATAATTTCTCCTGGCTATTTAGTTGGTGAAATTGTTAGATTGATGAATCAGTCTGCAGTTCGGAAAAGGGTTCCAGTTGTTACTTAATGTTCGTTTGTTAGGGATCCAGGTTGCCTGCAGATCTGTGTTAGATGCTGTTCACAAGGTTTGATGTAGCTCATGATTGATGATATCATACAGAATAAGTTAAACGTTGTTGTATGGTTATCTGCTGAAATTGCAAGCATAAGCATGCCTGCAAGTCACATGTTACCTATTTCTATGCAACCATAAGTCCAATAGTGTATTTAAGTGTATTAAATTTGACCTTCAATGAAGGAATTTCCTCATGTGTGACCTCCACACGGAGGGCGAGACTGAAAACCTTCATGGGGAACGGGCTAAGTGATGAAGAAGCATGAAAATTGTGCGGTAAAATGCATCGATTGCGGGAATAACAAAATGCAATTTGATGGTGCGTGAACTTGAAAATATTGCAAGTAAACGCATCAATAACAAAATACAGTTGTAATGATGAACGGATCTCGAAAATATTTCAAGAAAGTGCGCAAGTGCACGAGCAACAAAATGCAATTGTGATGACGAACGGACTTGAAAATATGGCGATGAAGTACATCAATTGCAGGAGTGACAAAATGCAATTGCGATGATGAACGAATATGAAAATGTCACAAGAAAAGAAAATGCATCCATGTTTGGAGTAACAACGTGCAATTGTGCAATTGTGATGGTGAGCAAATATGAAAATGTCAAGACAAAATGCATCAATTGAAGCGGGCAACAAAATGCATAACAAGGAAATCTCAATACCTTTTTTAACACTTCACGCTTGTATGTGACATGTACGTCACTCTTTGTGGCTCCCTCTGAATAGCATACCTCCAAATTATCTAAGATATGTTAATCAACTAATAAAGATCTCAGTTCGTCATGATGTCATCCTATACTTTTAATCAACTAATGAAGTCATCCTATACTTTTAATTAGGTTAGTTTGTGCACAGGGGGCGTAGCCAGGGTACTCTTGCGTTGGGCAGCTGCCCAGAGCAAGTAATTGGTCGGCCCTCTACGCCCCAGCTCCTACTTCTCCGCCGGTTGGCCGACCCTTTACGCCTCCGTCCTCTACGGCGGCGTCTTCGGCCTCCTCTCCATGGGCGCCGCCCTCTCTGTCGCTGTTTCGGCCACGGTGGTGACCTGGATCACCGTCCTCATGTTGCTCGCCTTCGCGTGGAAACTAATGAGGACGCTGGTGATGGAGGCAGTCTTACAGTGGCGTAGCCCAGCGATTTTTTGCCCAGGGCAAAAAAAATTCCTGGCTACGCCACTGTTTGTGCAGTCTGAGGCTTTGGCCTCTGTAATGGTTGTGGTCGTCTTATGAGTAAAATCCTCATTTAATCAGCACATCCCATTTATTTCCGGGTATGAAAAAGTTATGACCCGATATGACCACACCCGAACAGGCTTATCGGGTTAACGGGCGCCAAATTCCCTGAAGCAAAAGAGGGATAAATTAGGCGACGAGAGGAAATAGAAAAAAAAAAGGGGAAAAGCGAGCGGAAACCGAGCGATGGCTTCAATAGTAAGGGGCGTGTTCAAGGCGATTAAAGAAAAGGGCATCGCCAATTTCGTCAGAGATCTCAAAGATGAAGGCTATTTGTGAGCCCCTCTATCAATTTTCTCTCGTTTCATATCAATTTATGTTGCTTTACTATGCTTTTTTATATTCAGATCTGCTCATATTTTTGTCACTCCGAGCAAAATATAGAATTTTTCATATGGGTTCGATCAAGATCTCACCTTTTTCAGGAAAAATCCCATCTTTAGGTTGAACCGAGCGCAGCATGAGTGAATTAATACTGTGCTGAAGCTGGAAAAATTTTGTTCCTACTTTGATAATTTTGTTTGGGTTAAACCCTTTTGGGTTTCTTTCCTCGAAACTTTTAAAACTTTCCTAATGCTAGTGTTACTTGTGATGAGTAATCAGTTCTACTTTTCGTTTGCAATTTTCTAATGTAAAAGGTACAATGTGCTTAAAGGAGAAATCACTTGATAATTGTATTGCGGCTGTTGGTTAATTAGCAGCAGCTGAATCAGCTAGTGATTTGTGGAGTCTGTATATCCTAGGCTTAAGTTTTTGAACCAAAAAAAGCCAACCCGCTCTCTTGTTGACTGTTAGAATTGAGAGCTTGCGGCTGTATATAGTTCTAATTAGAAAATAATCACGTAATTGGTTTCACAACTTAGAGAAAGAAAATGTGACAATCACAAGTTAACAAAGTTGCATGGATAGTGGTATGGGTAATAGTAGGGATGCACATATGGGTACGGGACAGGGAAAATTGTAAAATGTAGGTTGCAGGGACACGGGGACAGCGACATACATATATTGAAATTATTAAATTATATGAGATCATTACTGTTTCTCAATTCACGTGTTATTAGAATTAAAATTCCTATCACATCTTTAAGTTTCTTTTACTATGTTGATTGGTAAAAGTTGGAAACTGCTCGTTTTTGAACTCAACACTCAAACGACCCTTTAAGGTCATAGTGTTGAACTTGTATGTGGGCTGAAAATTACCCGTCCCTTGTCTAACACCTTTCAAGAAACGGATGTGAAATGACAATTGTTTTAAGTTTAAACATATATCATATAGTTCAATACATGTTTGAATAAATGTATGCATATATCTTTGGAGTGTCCATGAAGTTTGGGTATGA